TTAGAGCCAGCGGCAGAAATCCCGTTCACTGCCATGGGGACGGGAGTCGGGTTTTGCCCACAGGAAAGAGCCAGGCTGAGTCTAGAAGCTTTAGGCCTCGCTGCCCTCGAGCCTTGGCGAGGGAGGCGGGAACTCTCTCCAGTCACTGCTGTGCCCAATGGCGGCTCCGGGAGGCTCCTATCGATAGGCCTTGAACACAAACAAACAAACAAACACAAAACAAGGATGCAGCTCAGGCAACAGGAGTTCCTTTGTCTCTCGTTCTGGAAGTTGCCAGAGGCCCTTCCATCTCCAATTGAAAATCTGTGAAATGCCAGTGCGGTTATTGTCTCCCCATTGTGTTTCTAGGCAGAGGCAAGGGCTGGTATGTGTCAGTATCGGCAGCTCACAGTTGGACAGAGAGATGCAGACTTCATTTAGGGCTGAGTACAATTCTTCCGGGAGTTTATTATTATTATTATTGCATTATATTTATTTTTCATAGAATCAAAACTGGGACTTCCTTCTTTCGGTTCTGATTTTGGAAATATCTTCACCACAGCAGTCTTCCAAGATCATAATCTCTATAGTTTTCTTGGACTCTCAGGTTTTCAGCATGTCTCATTTTTAAGCTTGGATAATTCTGCTGAGTCAGAAAAATAAGGGGTGGACTGTTTTTGCTTCACCTTCACATCTTTCTTACATGAGGCATATAGGGCTTCTAGAAGATGAGGGAGAGGTTGAAGGCAGTTGAAGTCTTGGCCAAAGTAACACAATGCCTTTTTTTTTTTCTTCTTTTTTTTTTTCTTTTTTTTTCTTTTCTTTTTTTTTTTTCTTATTCATTTTTTTTTTTTTTTTTTTTTTTTGCTTCTCCTGAACCAATTCACTTCAGGGGAAGCAGAACAACTCTAGTGCTTAAATGGCTATGCAATGACTATTCATCAGAAAAAAATAGTCTGGATCTGAAATATACAGAAAGCAAACTTTTATTTACAGAAATGAATTTAAATCTGCAGCAGATTTGCAGGGGGAGGTAATATTAAAAGTTGCTGTCAGGAAAAAAATCAAGATTTCAAGTTAACTGGCTATATTAGTTATCTTAAGAAATGCTATTGCTCTTCCTTGGAAAGCCTGTCTTGTTTATAACCTTAGAGCATCACACTCACTAGTTAAAATGCCTGTACTGACCGTCTCTCTGTCCGTGTATACTCTTCCTCATGAATTTCTGAAATGAGCACTGGGGAGAACTAGTAAGCTCATTGTATGGTGTGTAAAATGGTTTGATGCATGTTTTAAGAGTAGACTGTAAAAAGGTAAGGCTGTAATTTATCTAATCTACTTCCCTTTGCAGGAGGCCAAAAGACATCCTTGGGCTTTTTGACTGATACATTTTGCCTGATTTATGCTGTATCATATTTCCAAGTTGAGGTTTGTAAAGCTTTAAAAGAACGGATTACTGAAAGTTTTAAAACTGTTTTTTATCACCTCTTATTCTGTCACCAGATTTCACATTTCATTAGGCTTCTTCCCATTTCAGTTCCATCATTGTTCTCAGAGTTCAAGGGAAGAGAGCCAGAGAAGACTGACGAACATAAAAGGAAAATATGAACAAAATAAGCATCTTCAGCCAAGTGTTGGTGGGAGGTGCTATGCATAATAGGGCAATCCCATGCTCCTGCAATAAAAGAATCACATGATGGAGGATAAAGAAGAGTCACAAATAATGGTGGGAAAGTCTTCTATAAAGAGCTTCAAGAACAAATATAATTACCAAATGCATTATTAACTGGGGAGAAAAACACTGACCAGCCTTTCATATGATTTAGAATGTTTACCAATAGTGCATCCCTAATTTGCCGAGCCAATAAAAGGCAAAGACTACAAAAAATGTGAGCAGAGACAGGGAGGAGACTGCGTGTTGGGCCTCAGAGGGCATTTCGGTAGCTCTGAGCAATGTTTATAATTCACTCGGGCATGATTTGCCCTTGTGCCAGGAGCAGCATCTGCTGTAGCTTTGCCAGCCTGCGCTGCCTGCAGCAGATTTTGCCCGTCTCGGTTCTACCTGCGGTGTCTACCGTGCGTGTCCTTCTCGCTCCCAGCATCACAACTGGGAGGTCCTCACAAGATGAACATGCTGCTTTCTTACACAGTCCTGCCCTAGATGTCTCGTGCAAGGAGCAATGTCCCTGTGCATGCGCTGGAGCTTCGTGTTCCTGGGCACAAGAAGCCAAGGCGAGGCTGGAGCCCTTGCCTGGCGCAGAGGGCCTGGAGACCAGAGAGCAGCCGGAGCTGCCCAGCTAAACACGGCGCGATTGCATGGTGACCGCTCTGACACGTCATCAAAACCTATGCAGAGAGGAGAGAGGAGAAGAGTTTGCTATTGACTGAATACTAAACTGTCATAACTGCAACCTTTATAAAAATAATCTTTCTGTTACTGTTGAGGGTGTCTCTTAGAGATATAGAAGAAAAACTCTGTTCAGGCTAGTCTTCAGATGACACTGCCTTCAAACTTCTAAAAGGCCGGTGCCAAAAGCCCTCCGTAGGGATTTGGCCTGTAAAAGCTCCAGGACTAATTATGTGGGACCAAGGGGCGGTTTGCAGATCCCTGAAGTGTTCCATCATGTTAAGACCTGTGTTGATATGACAAGGGCTATGTTAGTTTTCACTAGCTGGAATCAATGTTTTTATTTGTGTCATAGTTGTCACAATGATATATGAATATCTCTGGAAGTCTAAAAATACTTACATAGCAGAAATGGAAGAATATTTCTCTTTTTTTTTTTTTTTTCTTTCTTTTCGAGTGTGATGGTCTAAAATTATTCTGGTCATAACTAGAGACAAGTTAGCAAAAAAAGGAAGTGGAGTCACAGGAGAGTTAAAAGCAAGCTAAAATGGCACCTGAGACAGAAAGAGAAGGAAGATCTCATTGAAGAAATGTATAGTAAATACTGCCTCTAGTCTAGTGACTAGAAATTTGAAAGCTTTGTAGTGTACAGTTCTCCAGCTTCTTTAAAAGCTTTTGAATTTAAATTCCTTTTAAGATGTTTTTAAAAAATTAAAGGTTCTTCTTGATTTAAATATGTAAATCTTATTTAATATAGAGCCTACTAGTTCCTCAAGCTAAATCATTCTTGGTTCTGTTGCACATCCCACAGCGGAAATGTGCTTATAGATAGCTAAGTTATCACTGTAAAATGATGAGTAGACCTAGGCACTGACCATGATGTCTCCAGGAACCCCTGTCTGCAAAAGTGACTTTTTCCTGTTTGCTAGGATTACCTTACATGTCAAAAGCCCCTTGTGGTTTCCCTGGAAAAGTCTGTAGAGATCCTATCCTCTAGTCTGAAAGTCCGAGCAGTCACTAGTATTTATCTCTGAGTCTCTTATTTAGTCTTAGTGTACAATCAGGCAAGAAGAGTGAAACACACAACTTCATAAGAACTGAGACACATTGGATATTTTAGCATTAAACTTTCAATTTTCCAGCTGTGCCAAGTCAAGAAACAAGCTAGGAAAAGAAACATTTGTATAATTAAGACTTTTTTCTATTTTTTTTTTTTGGGATTTTTCAGTTGACTTTATTCTTCATCTCTCTGTCTTGAGAAGTTGCTTTGTTTTTATTTTATTTCTTTTAAATGAGCTTTCTCACCAAACAGGTTTAAGTTCTCACCGTTCTGATTATTATTAGCAAAACAGTTCTGCTTTCAAATACTAGGCCAGAAGAAGAGTTTCTTGGTTGGAAAAGGGAAATGGGAATGCAGCACTAATATTTATTTTATTTCTGTTGATGCTGTATTTTGAGTGTTGTTACACAGCACTCAAAGTGAGTGGAATTGCTATAGGGAAAGGGCAGAGAACACACTAATAACAAAAATTCTTGGACACTGCAAAATGTCATAATTACTGAGGAGTAGTAGGCAGGGAGGCGTAATCCAGAATAAGGCATTTGGGAATATAAAAGTAAAGAAACTTCTAACATAAGATGAAATGACTCATAGAGATCTATGAAATTATCAATATAACTGTGATCCCTGAGATCCTAGATAGTCTCAGCAGTATATTTACATTGTTTTATTTACATTGTTTTTCTTTCCTGTCTGTTGTGCTAGGAAATTTTTGTCATTTTGCTTATTTCTCAAAGAAAATGCCAGTTTGCATTAGCTGACAGTTAGGATGTCTGGATCTTAAATATATGGCCTTATTTAAAATGACTGTGCAGGTGAAATCCAGGGAATAGTTCTGGGAACTGACTGTAGCTTCTTGTGGGAATAACGTTAGTCACAGGTCCATGCTGTGTTCATAGGGCTCAAAGGCTGTTATTTCTTTGTGAAGCCAGAAATACGGTTTTCTGCCTTGGAGAAAGGCAGGCACTGTGGCTGTGTTCATATTAGTAAACAAAATGAACCAGAGCTTGTTTTCTGCCCCCAAGGCTAAGAAGCAAGACGCGTCTAGGTCCATACACCTGCAGCTCCTCCACGCCCTGGCACAAGACTGGGCTTTTCTGCCCTGGCTCCCAGGAGTCGTCCCAAGCTGGCATTTCCTGCAAACCCTCCGGAGCTGTTGCCAATGGGAGAGGACTGATGGCCAGAGGCTAGTCAAGCTGCTGCATGTGTGGAGAGCTGAACCACACGGATAATGCTGGCTTCTTGCTCAGGCCTTTGCTCTGCCTTGGTGTATAGAGCACTGCAGAGGTGGTTTGGAGAGCAATGGCAGTGCCTTCAGGCCCCCTGAATAGGTATAGGTAGGCAGCAGGGTTGTGTCTTATGGGAAGATGTTTTATGCTTTGTTTCATGCATCAATTGGTGCTACATTACACTTAAGTAAGGTTTGAGATTCCGTTAGATGTGCAAGAGATCAAGACCCTTCTTTTCCAGAACAATAAGCATCATCTTGAAACCCTCAGCCAAAACATTTTCAAGCCCATTAAAAAGAAAAGGGTCTTTTTTACATACACAAAGTCTTAGGCAAGAGACTGGTGTTGGTAATTTTTTTTCTTTTGCTTTATATGTTTTCTACAGGGAACAGAATTCTGAAGCTTGCAACACAAACTGGAAAGACAGTTGCAGTTTTAGACAATGAACAACAGTGGAGAGGACTGTATTCACAGAACGAGTCAGGAGGGGCAGTTTTGCCACCAGAGAAGAATTCCTCTTCACCAGCTGTGATATCATTTAACAATGACAGCTCTCCAGTTTGTAAGTGCTGCATGTGTTTTCAATGCCTTATTTGCAACTGTGTTTTTGAGATAATGATTTGGAGTCACATCCTGCTTGCTTGAGCTGCCTTTAGATTTTGTTCCTTTGACAAGACAATTGCCAAGAGTAAGGTGAATAGGCTTTTGATCTCCAAGGAAAAATTCCTTCAGACCGTGGATCCATCCTTAACTTGTACAAATGAAGGATAAGCTTGTTCTGTGGGTGGCCTGAGCAGCCACCTCTTTCTTTGAAGTGCACCATGCTGGCCACAGTTGGTGACAAGGCATGAGATGAGGCAGCAGTTTCTGTGTTCATAAACCATCCCCAATGTCTTGCTCTGAAGGCATCACAGCTACCTTGTTTAATAACATTTTACACGAACTGTTTTGGGAAGGGATTAGAGATGTTCCCATGAACTTTCTTACCCCTGGCCCTCCCCATGAAATCTAAGTCTTAGAGCAGCTAGCATATGGCTGATGAAAAGCCACTAATGTATATTCCCATCTTGCACAACTGAGATGAAGCTGGGTATTTACATGGCTTGAGGAATGCTTGGTCTTTCTCAGGGCCAAGAAAAATAAAGTTGCCAACCGCCCCCCATAATGAAAAATGAAGTGCTGCTCCCAGCCACATGTAGCAAGCCTTGCTGCATTGCTTGTTCATTTGTTTTATTTATTTTCTTCTTAAAGTTAGAAAACTTGGTCCACGTTATTTTGTTTTCAGAGCCTTTGCCCCTAAAGAGACAAAGGACTTTTATAAAAACAATATATATGGGGACATCTGTGCATAATTTTTTAAAGACCATGGTACAGGAGAAAGCAGGTTAGTTTGGGACAGGCTGGAACTACATGCTGACAGCAGGAGATGCAAAGAGGCCTATTGTCTTTGTTAAAAATAAATAAATGAAAGCTGGAAAAAATTCTTTCATTAAATTGGAAACAGCATTATCCAAGGAGCTTGCAGTATTAATTAGATCACGTAGCACTCAAATACAACATTTGCCATGATGGCATTTCATCAAGGGCTCGGGCTAGAGATAGTAGCACATGCATAATCTGATCCTTACCCTGAGGACAGGAAGATGTGGGTATGTTTGAACAAAGGATTACCATTTATGAAAGTCTCAGACAGGGGGAGGTGGAGGGATCCCCCCTTGTCAGTGAAAGGGGAAATGGTTATCACTGCAAAACACTGCTTTGCCCTGGGCTTGGCTACGGAGGGGGAAGACTCCCTGCAAAACATACAGGGATCTGCAACAAGAGTGGTTCTAGGAGTCATGATGAGCTGTGTTTGCAGAAAGGTAGACACTTCTGTATAAGACAGTTGTTTGTTCAGTCTAGAAACGCCTTTCTGATACTGATAGTATGAATTGGTTCTTGAGTAGATATGAAAATCCCCAATGCAGAAAATTAAGAATAACCATAGATTTGAGAGATTCTGATTTTTGTATGACACACATTACCTTGTGGCAGGAAAAAAAAGTGCTGAAGCAGATAGCTTTGTAGACTCAAATTATAGGAAACAAGGGTTCTGAAGAAAATAAAAGCTTTTAAAAGGTTTACATTTGGAAATGGTAAAACATTTCACTGAATGCTTAATCCACCTCTATCTGTGCAGCCATGGTGACTCAGAAGTATTTTGGTGCAGATGTGTCTTGCTTTTGTGGACTGGACGCCAAAGCTTGGTGCGTGTCCTAAAATGTGTATCTCTGAATCTGTGCTAGTACACAATGGGAAGGTAATCTGTGTTTCGTAGGAAATAGAGACCTGCACGGCAGCTGAGCACGAGAGAAATGTTCAGATCCTGTGAAAACTGTTCACGTTGGTTTTGAAAAAAAGCAAACGTTATTGAGAGAACAACCCTGCCTCTGTAGAAAGTTCCTCAACAACTCCAGTATTTGGTTGTTGCACTGGGGTGAAGTTTTATTTAATTTCTGAAAAAGTCTGTCTTTTATGCAACTTGAGATTTGCTTGCTATGTAAAATTGTTAGAATCTTCCTAAAACACGGCCTGGATATTTCTTGAGTTGTCAAAGGGGGAAGAATGGACACAACACATAACTGACCACTATTTTGCTTTCCCAAAGGATACGGTGAATTTGCCGTCACATAAGTGCTTCTAGTGAAATTGATGGTTTCCCTAGCAGGGACACTCTCATCTAGCTACTACTTGTTGCAGTCAGTGCAGGAATTACTGAAGGTCAAAAGAAACACATTAAAGGAACTATAATGCTCTGTTCTGCCTGTGTGAAAATATATCTACCACGCTCATGAGCTTTTCCCTTTTACTCTGTGTTCCTCTCTATAGGAATCTTTCTCAGAAGAGACGTTCAGGAGAACTAAATTGTTCATTGTGAGTCTTAGGACTGCAATAGGCAGAGTGCTGTACCATTAACCTTTTTTTCACACATCCCCCTGTTTTCTACTGTATTTTGAAAGTTGCCTAATGAAATTACATGAGCCAAGAGCTGTGTGTAACAGCTGTATGAGGTGACTACCCACACGTGATGTCTTAGCTCCCTGTCACAGTGAATTCGCAGTACATGAGGCAGTTCTAGTGCTTTACCCAACCATATCTCTTTGGAACGTCTTGTATTTTCTCTTGACCTTCTCATAGGTTGCTTTTTGTTGAGTTTGTAATGCTCTGATTTGCGATCCATCTGATTTTTTTATTTTTTTAATTGCTGTTCCTTGGCTCTGTTTACATCACCTAGTTTCCAACATCTTACCTAATTAGACTGTGGCTGTGAGTCTGAATTGACTAAGCCTACCCTTATCCCGTGGGAAAGCTATTATAAGATATAACTTGTAATGTAGTTAGATGTTATATATTTGTCCTTATGGATATAGTTTCAAGAGATGTGCTGTCAACATCTTGACTTGATATTTAGCAAATGAGACGGGACCTGATTACTATGTTTAAGTACATGAAGGGAGAATGTAGGGAGGAAGGGGCCAAGCTCTTCTCAGTGGTGGCCAGTGGCAGGACAAGGGGCAAGGGGTACAAGTTGCAACACAGGCAGTTCCATCTCCATGTGAGGAGGAACTTCTTCACTGGGAGGGTGACAGAGCCCTGGAACAAGCTGCCCAGGGAGGTTGTGGAGTCTCCTTCTCTGGAGGTCTTCAAAACCCACCTGGATGCTCCCCTGTGCCCCGTGCATTGGGTGTCCCTACTGGAGCAGGGGGGTTGGACCACATCATCTCTAGAGGTCCCTTCCAACCTTAACCACTCTGTGATTCTGTGAAATGTATGCATCGTGTGTATCTAGATTCAAATGCATTCCTGCAAAAGTTAACAAATGTAGACCTAATTCATCAGCTCCTTGTCTGTGAAGTCTACTAAAGGTTATTATCCTGTGGCACAAAGATAATATTCTTCAGTAGATTTTAGAAGGTTTTTAATTGTAGCATTTTACTTAAATCTTCCATAATTTACTATAAAACAATTTCTGCATTATTATTAAATCAAATGAGGGTTAGAGATCATATAATTATGCTATTCTGTATGCCAGATTAACTCAGCTGTCAAGGATGTGCTTGCTTCTAGTAGAAGGTAAAATTTGTGGTACAATATGAGCATGTCAATGACATAATTGGAAAGCAAATTTCTAGAATATATTAAATAGATTGTGCTGCTGTAAAACATGAGGGATGGGAAGTGAAGGTAATGAGTTCCAACACAGAGCAGGCGAGCCCTGTGCCTTCTGCTTGGCACTAGGATTTGTGCGTGTGGAGCAGAGGAGTAAAGGGAACAGCAAGAACCTGACATTTGTGAATGACATTCAAATTGCCCTGTTATTTCCTCTTCTCAGGAATAAACAAGCTACTTTTCTCCGTACCCAAGTTGCCATGAAAATGAAAATTATGAGCAGAGGAAAATGATAGATGCTGTGTTTCTGAAACTCCAGTTTAGTAAAAGGAGAGATGAAGGGCAATAATGACTCCTGCAGTGAGAAATATGCATACCGTTTCTCATAGGCCGCTTGTTTAAAAAGTTACTGCCATGGTTAGTGCTAAGTTTTCATTTTCACTGTGCCCAGTTATTCGTGGTAACCGGATGGGCACTCACGGGTGACCGCAGACACGCACGGGAAGCTTGTCCTGGTACGTGCAGGAGCGGTGTGAGGGGCAGGAGGGGCACATGGGGTAGGAGGGGCACACGGGGCACCAAAGCGTGGCCACCTCACGCCTGCCTGCGGTGCCCAGCGCCATCACGGAGGCACCGGCCATGTTTCTGTGGAGAGTTTAATCAGTGCCTTTCTGCGTGGCCGTTGCTCCTACAAACTGGCATGTGAACATGGGGCAAGGTGAGGGGGCGGCGGTGGCTGCCAGCAGCCGAGCCGCAGGCCCAGGCACTGCGGGGCCTGCTCTGCCCGTGTCCTCGGCCCTCAGCAAGCCTGCCGTGCTAGGCCTCACGCAGCCGCCGCCTCAGCTCGCGGCCGCCATCTCAGCTCGCGGCCGAGGTCGGCGCAGAGGGAAGCGCCACGGCCTTCCTGCGGCTCCTCCACCCAGCAGTCGGCTGCCTCCGCCTCTTCGCCCAACGCGAGTCTTTCACAACAGCGTCTGGTTGAATGAAAAGAGATAAATCACCGCTTGGGTGACACAAGAACAATAAACGGATGTCACATTTGCTGTAATAGTTAAGGCCTTAATTGCATTCCCCCTCTTAAAAGTGAGGGGACGCGGTTAAGGGATAACGGCGTGTTTATCTTTCGTTTGTCAGCAATTAGCCCGAGAAGGTGCTTGTCCTGACACTTGTCTGATCGCGGGCCAGGGAGCAAGGGAAGGTCTTTTGTCACCGTGCCTTTTCTTACTGCTGTTAATCCGCTCTCTTTGATTGATTATTGCCCATATGGGCTGTTACCAACATGGGATTATGTACAGTACTGAGCGGGGAAAGCAGAGGAGATCTGGTTTATTTCTTGCTTGATTTAAAGATGAGAGTCAAGTTAGGGGAGAGGGAGGAGTGCAGGACGTGTTGCCTTGTGAAGGTCCAGCTGCAAGCAGAGCTGTTTGCTCCGTGATTAATACGTCGGAGCCTAGTGCATCCAGCACTCACCTCCCTGCTTCAGCCATATACAACCACAAGCAAAAGGGCCACCACAAAAAGGATTACATCAGTTTTCCCTAAATTTCTTAAGTGGTCCTATTAACATGACCGAGCAGGGACCTCACAGATTAGAGGTGCTTTTCAAAGGCAGGGAAAACTGTAGGGAGGCAGGTGATGTTTTGGAGATGAAGTATTTTGAGCTCTCTCATGCTGTTAAATCATAAAGGCATGGTACCAGCTTTTTATTTCTCCCCTTTCTAAATTTCAATCTGAAAGGCCCTTACTGATGCATATTGCACTGCATGTTTTCCACTTGTTTTAATGGTTGCCTGTCTGACATAGTTGAGAATATTTATGAGTGTTAGAACAGTGGCTCTTGCATTGCCTGACGATGAGGTCCAGGTGACATCAGTGCAAATACTGCCTGGACGGGTGGAAAATCCAACCCGCACGTCATGTTGTGGGCAACCTTTGTGAAACCAGGTGAGGTAGCCAAAAGCTTGAAGTGTTTTCATCCTTTCCAGAAGCCTCTGGATCCAGGATCCTCTGGAGAGAAGTTCATGATCCCTAAGATTCAGGTTAGCTGTTTTCAAGAAAATCAAGAGATTTTCTGATTAATGTTTAGGGGAAAATTTACGATAAACAAAGACATTAACAAAATGTAGAATCCTTCTTTTGTGGTTCTGTGTGGTCACATGATAGTGCTTAGTGAATTTGTTTGATATTATTTATTTCAGGTGAGAAAAAAGAAATGTATGACATTCTTTCAGAATTTATGCTATGTATTTACCTGATATTCCTAAAACAACCTGGGTTAAAGGGTTCAGTTTTAGAAATTAGGATTGGAAAATACTGAGAATCATCCTGTTGACATCATATATAGTGTTTGCAAAGATTTCAGCTTAGTATTTCATTTTAAAATTACTTGGTGGTGTTTTATGTTAACACATGTTGGACTCTAGCTCTCGATTGCTGCTCTGAGAACTCTGAGCATTAATTCCCATCTGGTGGGTCACAGGTGAGTGAGTGGCTGAGACATGTATGAACAGTGGTCATGGGAATGACTTAGCTGGCTTTTGAAAGTGGTGTGGACTGACTAGCTAATGAGATTTCCAAGTTTAGATACACCTTATATGGATAAAACAATGTTTTCTTTAGTAATATTTGTACTGATTGCAGCAAGAAATCCAGCAGAGGTTTGTAAGCCTACTTTTCCATTAAGATAGCTACATTTATATCAGGAATTTGATAGGATAGAAATGTGCCAAGCCTCAGAAAATGCTTCTACCTTAAATAATTCAGTAGCTGAATAAAACAGAGTTGCAAGTAATTTTCAAGTGAGTTAGAGGGGCGTTTTATGTCATGACAAACTCCTAAAATAAACTCCTAATTTTTTTTTTTTCCCCAACTTGATACCACATGCTCTAGGGCTCTAGGTCCTTAGTTTCCCTAAACTTCCTTCTCTTTTAAGACCTTTTTGTGTTCTCTTCTCCCTGGAACGATTGTAGAAGCAATTTGGAAGGTTACTTTAGAAGGCAGAAAAGTGAGTTGAGTACGTAGAGTTATGCATGAAGCTGCTACCTGCGCACATGGATTTGAGATGCACGATTACTGAATAAGAGGTAGCTTAAATAAGGGGATAAGCAGGCGTAATGGGATGGGAATAATGGGAAATAAGAGTTGGAGGATTACGGATGTGTGTCAAGAGGAAAAGCTTCCTGATGTGTAGGATTGATTGTAAATCATCATTCAGAGGAGGCATTGCCCAGAATGTTCAACTTGATGCGACAGAGAAACCAGTCAAGGAATGAGTGAATCCAACAGAGCTTTTCTATCTCCTTACAGGCACCAAGAAATAGTGCTAAAAGAAAAATGAGGGGCAAACATTTTTGGATGAAGTTACTGGAAGTTCCTCCGCAGTATGCTGCTCCTGCTTCCGCAGATATCAATATCTAGCTTCAAAAAGAGGATTTATATGCAGGCCGAGGGACTGACCTCCAGTGGAGGTATGAAATGGAAAGTTTGAGGTTCTGTCCCAGGAACCATGCAGTTGAGATCCCATCATTACCATGTAGACTTTCTCAAGGAGTGGGGGCACACAGATCTCCTCAGGGAATGTCTTGACCAAAAAGTGGCTCTCTCTTTGCATTCCTTCTGGCCCCAGGAATGCTGCATTCCTCACCATGCAGCAGCCCAGTTTCAGGGGTGGTGATGTGTGGGTGGGAGTGCTTGTCCCTTGAGATAGCAAACTGCCTGGGACAGGCTCAGGGCAGGACTGATATGGGAGTTTTCTGCTGAAATCTAGGTCCTTTTCCTCTGAGGCACTAATGCAATGAACACTGTTTGTTTTAGATCTGTGCCATCCAGAAAGCGACTCAGTCATCATAGGTGTTTTAAAAATAAAGAGAATCTCTTTCTGGCTGCATTAGATGCTTTTGCTTTATATAAAAGAAAACCATGAGATCTGTGGCTGCGTCAGCGTGTGAAAGGACTGAGTCGAGCTAGTATGAAGTTTCAGCTCAACCTATGCTAGGAAATAGGACTGCCAACATAGATCGCCTTGGATTATAGATGGAGGACGGAGTGAGTTTAGCTGATGCTAGGGCTAACTGGCAGTTGAGCATGACAGGCCTTTTTTTTTTTTTTTTTTTTTTGGTAGATTTAGACCAGCTAAATTTTGCTGGGGAACTCAGGAGCATTACCATGTCTCCCCAAAGTGGGCACAGGGAATAAGGAAGACGCCCCATGGAATAAGTCTTCAGAATGCCCACATTGTAAAAAAGCACAAAGTTTGGGGTTTCAGATAAAGTTTTATCCTGAAGTTTTATTGACTGTGGAAATGACCTGTAACTTCTGCTCGATGTTATTTCTCTAACCAGTAGGGTAGCAATGGTCACTACCACTGGTAGGTAGTGACCATTGGATCTACCTCAGCAGAGAAGTCCCCATGCACCCTGGAGCGAATCCAACAGGATTCAGCCTTGGGAGCAGCCATGCTAATACCTCCCTCCTTCATGGCCTTAAGAGAATGTATAAAAGCAAACTGAAAACAAAACAAAACAAAACTATTGTAAACAAATGCCTGAACCATCTCTTCCTTAGTATCTTAGGTTAAGCATTTTAATCATTGGCATTGCACTTCCTTACAAAGGCTGCTAAGATGTTTTTTCTCATGTTTGAAACAAATGGGAGTTGTGTAGCTACAACCACACACAATGCGTTGGAAAGCTGCATGCTTAAATCTTTTGAGCTGAATTACAATGGGTTTATTAGAACAAAGAATTAAAGGCACAACTAATGCCTGAACACTGGAGACTTCTATAGCTTCACCATGCCCAATTTTTCACTTCATCTGTGTACAGCATTCATAGGGCTAAGGATAAAGCACAAGTGTAAGTACAGTGTGCTGTAGTCTAGGCCTTGCCTTTCTGCTCTGTGGTATGTTTTCAGCCACTGAAAAGGTGAGAATAGGAACGGGGAACTGTCTTTAATTAGGCAAACAACAAACAAGCAAAACCTCTCAAACCCGGTATTTCTAGCAAGGGAGCTGAAGATGATGTCAGAGACAAAAATTGCTTTTCCTGTAGAACCCTCTAGAAAGAACTCAGTTCTCCCTAATTATTATTCATAAAAAAATCAAGGCGTCTGGTAGAAAATGTTCTGAAAAGTTTTAGGAGAAGCTTAACATTTTATTACAGTGAATGCTAGGAAAAAGTTACATAGTTAAAAAAAAAAAAAGGATACCTTTATTTCAGCCCGTTGTGTTTTTTTTCAGTGTGTATTTGAAGTGGAAAAAGGTGATGAAAACTGTTTTCAAAATTCTTTTGCCCCTTCCATTTAGAGCACTCAAAACCGGATTATATGCAGTCTTTTTATTCCAATCATTAATTTTTATATGGGCCACAAACCTGAGGTCTTCACTGCATGAGAACATGTAAGATTTATTTCTCTCTGGCCTGCAAGAAAGACAAAGTTTCTTTCTCCATCCTAAACAATCTCCAGAAGCAGCTGGGCAGAGGTGCTGGGGAGGAGAGGAAGGTGGCAATAGATGTTGCCCCTGGTGTTTGCACAAAGAAGAAAAAGTATGAATGAAAATCGACACCTCATTTCAAAAGACTCTGCTGGTCAAAGAGGTTTCTTGCCCCTTGGTGTTCTATATGTGCTCATCATCACCTCTCCATCAGAGGTCAGCAGTGAAACAGTGAAACTGCTCCTCAACCCTCAGGTCACTGGAGGAACCTGGACATCCCTCCCTCGATTATTGTTTTTGATAGGAGATGTCAAAGGTTTAATCAAAACCCTCTTTGGATAGAACAGGCCAGTTTATGGATTTCATTAGAGGCACAGAGCATGAGCCAGGCTTTTTGAAATTTACAGTTTTCTGACAAATCTAACTAAACAGAGAGCAGAGGCTGATAGAATTTAAAGGTCAGCAAGAATTTTTATGACCATCCTGAGCTGGATGAACAGTTAGAATGAAAAAAAAAGATGTTAAAATGTGAATCTAGAAACAAAGAGAAACAAGAAAGTCATAATAAAAGAAAAAAATACTAATACAATGTTTGACTCTAAGGCAATCATATTTTAATGGAAGGTGCATTGTTTGCCATGTCTTGTGATGTATGAGAAGAGGACACATTCAAACGGCTGGTGCCTTATGTGTCAACCAGCTTTCTCAAACACGTTTTCTGATCTGTGCTATGGCAATCTGCAATATATTGTATCTATTGTCTCAGACCATCCTGATGAGGGATGAGAAAAGGTGAATGTACCACAAACCAGAAGCGAGAGCAAAAGCTGACCACATAGATGTCACAGTTAGGAAATAAGGCAAAAAATCTGTCTTAAATATGGACACAGGTCTTCTAAAACTTGTCTTTTTTGGCATCTCTTTAATAAAGATCACACAGCAGTCGATCTGTTATCTACATTAGGAGAAAGAATCAGTGTGAACCCACCCCAGTTCTGTGTTTTTTAGCTGGAGATAGAGCAGATCTGCAGAGATCTCCACAGCCCCTGTGATGGCTGAAGGAGTCCTGTGTACAGTGTTTTCAGAGCTGGGCTGGACAGGAAACAAGATAAGCCTTTGGGATACACAACTAATTCTCTCCCTTAGTAGGGAGAAGAACAAACTGCAGGGCTATTGTGCCAGCCCAAGGATAATAGTGTCCTTATACCTCTTCCAGAAGAATCTCAGTAAGTTTCCAAGTACTTTAGTCACTCCGTAAGAGCTTATAAAATTTTGGAAGAAAGAGAGAAAAACACAGGAAGTGCCAACTTGATGAAACTCTGTTTTGTGCATACTGGTAGGTGGGTACACCAAAACTAAGGGACCTGTTTACAAAGCACAGGGCACAACGTGTTGCTTTTAGCTATGGTCATCACTAAGAGTCAGACAGGAACATAAAGGGAGAATGTTGAGAAGGTGACGTGATATTGGTCTAGGAGGGACATGGGGACAGGCTGCCTCCCTGGTGCCCTTCTGAGGCATCATTCCTGTCAAGCTTCCCTCATGGAGGAGAGGAAAATTTACGCTGTTCTTTTGAAAGGTGAAAGGGACTTGAATTGCAGGGACTTGAATTGCAGAAGTGTGGGGACTGAGTGTAGCTGCTGGGACTGCAGCTTCCTCTCTGGGGAGCAGCTTCCCTGACGCAGAAGGGGTCTTGGTGTGCTCAGGTACCATGAGTCATGGGCAGGAAGCTTGCCTGCAGCAGAACCAGGACTCCCTGCCCAGTCGTGTTCCCACACTCTAGCGCTTTGAAAAATAATTTTGTTATGTGTTTTTCAGAAGTAAATATTAGTCAAATTCTGTCTTTTTCCTTCACTTAAGCGAACAAAAACATCACAGATACAGTCTTGGTGTATTTTTTCTGGGGGCAAAATTGGCACAGGAATCCATTCTAAACTGATATGTCAGAAAAGCCACACCAGGCAGTTTCACTTAGCAGGGCTTCCTGACATTATTCCTGGGTTTAGGTTATGGGCAGCTTTGAATTTGGATGCAAGCAAACCCAAAGCCATAAGCCATTTGAAATCGCTGAGCTCTGTCTGCTTTGTGTTTGTTTGTTTTGCTGATGCCATGGCAGAGTGTAAGCAATGAGCTGTTGTTCTGCGAGGCGGCAGCGCCCTCAGGTACCCTAACCCTTTGTCCCAAGTGCCCTGCAAAGGTTGCTGACCTCTCGCAAGCCTTGCGGGGCGCCTGCTCCAAGACTCGGGTGTGCGACCAAAGCAGGCTGTGCCACATGCCGTTCAGCAAGGTAAGGGCTTACAGAATTACTGTAGCCACAGCCAAACAAAGGAATCCCGCCTTTGAAAGACAACTGTTAATCCAGATCCTGTGAGTTAAGCCCCTGTTGGAGAAATACCTGGAGAATTCCCCGTGAGCTACATTTGGAGCTTAGAAGAGCATCTTTTGGCCTACTGTTTTTGCCACGCTTACAGGGAGGCTAAGATACTGGCTATCTGTTTTCAATTACCAAACTAAAATGCAATTAGCCACTCCAAGGGAACAAACAATGATTTCTTTAAAATTTCCTTTTTGAAATGTATAAATGTTTGTGGGAATCAAATTTCCGTGGCTAGGATGTTTTCACTTAAGGAACCCTCATATGAATTACCACTGAGAACAGGCACTTTTTTCTTTTCTTTTTTTTCTTTTTTTTTCTTTTTAATGAAGTTAGCACATTTCCAACTCTGCAGTGTATAGAATCATTTGTGTTAAGGAGAAGCAATCTTTGCTTTTATTGAAGTAATTTTTATGAGGCAGATCTTTAGACGATGTAAATGGCCCTAGTTCCGCTACAAAATGAAAGGAATACAATGGCAGCAGTTTCAGAGAGCAGAAACTGGCCGACTTTAAGTAAGTTTAAGTGTAAGTCTGAAACAGAAACTATTTTTAGCAGAATGATAAACTTGCACAATTAAATGCTTAGGATTTGAGCAGTCTGAAAATAAAAGGTTATTTGCAGATTAAAAAAAATGCCTGTGGTTATGGAACAGGCTGCAATAAACTGTTTTTAAATATTAGGAGTCTTCTGCATTGCTACCTGTGTTGGCTCTCGTTTGCACGGCACTAACTTTCTTGGCAATGGCTTTTTAGAAGGCCTTTTAAATAGGCATGAATTAGTTCTGCATGCCTTTAAAGACAGTTATGTCTTGCCAAAATGGTGTAGTATTGTGCAGAATTAGGCTTGGATGTGTCTGAGATAACATGCAATTATGCTGTTAGTGGCTTTATCCTAATGCATTTGTGCAGGGAAGCAGAGAGTAACTTGAGCAAGTTTCTGTGCCCAGTGCTTCTTTGCACATTTCCCAAAGTTTGCATTACTAAATATGAATCCT